ATGCATTTATTGGCCATTTTTATACCTTCTTTTGTGAAATGTATGTTTAAATCTTTTTCCACTTTTTATTGAGTGTTTGCTTCTTTATGTGCTGTGATATATGTTCCCATTCTCTGTCCTGTTTGTTTTCTTAATTGTTCCTGCTGGTATCAGAAAATATTAACTTTCATGAAGTCTAATTTATCAATTTTTCCCCCTAAAATTATTGCCTTTTCTCTCTTGTCCAAACAACCTTTGCCTACCTCAAAGTCACAAAGATCTTTTCCTCTGCTTTGTATAGATACTTTTTGGATGTCGGTTTTACATTTAGCTCTATGACTCCTTTCAAATTAATTTTTGTGTGTGGAGTGAGTTAGAGGTTGAGTTTCATGTATTCTATACGGATATCCAGTTGTCCCAGCAATATCTGTTAAAGAGACTTTTCCCTCCATGTTGTATAAACCTAGGAACTTTGTAAAAAGTCAGTTAACCTTATATATGTCGGTGGATTTCTAAAATTTCTAATTTGTTTTGTTGATCTATTTGTCTCCTACTTTTTCCAACACCACACTCTTGTGACTACTCTAGTTTTACAGTAAGTCCTAATTAAAATAATTTAATTCCTTGAACTTTGTTCTTTTTTTTTTTTAAGGTTGTTTTTGGCTATTCTAGACCCTTTGCATTTCCACTTAAATTTTAGAATCAGCTTGTCTATTTCTTCAAAGAAACCTGTTGGATTTTTACAGGGATTAAATTATTCTACAGATCAACATTGTCTATCCATCTATGAACATAGTATATCTCAATTTCTACCCCCCCAATTCTTTAAGTATTTTTAAGTTTCTCTCAGTAACGTTGTTATTTTCTGTCTAGCTATCAGCTATCCTGTGAATATTTAGTTAATTTATTCTTTGTATGTGATATTTTTGATGCCATTTCATTCTCCAATTTTTGTATATTATTTTTTATCGAAGTATAGTCTGTTTACAATGCTGTGTCAATTTCTGGTGTACAGCATAATGCTGCAGTCATACATGAACATACATATATTCATTTTCATAAATTTTTAACCATAAGTTACTATAAGATATTGAATCTAGTCCCCCTGTGTTGTGCTATACAGTATGAACTTGTTTATCTATTTTATATATGTTAGTTAGCATCTGCAAATCTAGAACTTCCAATTTATTCCTTTGCACCCCCTCACCATAACCATAAGTTTGTTTTCTATGTCTATGAGCCTGTTTCTGTTTTGTAAATAACTTCATTTGTCTTTTTTTTTTAGATTCCACATATAAGTGATACCAAATGGTATTTTTCCTTCTCTTTCTGGCTTATTTCACTTAGAATGACAATCTCCAGGTCCATCCAGGTTGCTGCAAATGGCATTTATTATTTTTTATGGTTGAGTAGTATTCCACTGTATAAATACACCACTTCTTTATCCAGTCATCTGTTGATGGATATTTAGATTGTTTCCATATCTTGGCTTTTGTAAATAGTGCTGCTATGAACATTGGGGTGCATGTATCTTTTTGAATTAAGGCTCCCTCTGAATATATGCCCAGGAAAGGGATTGCTGGATCATATGATAAGTCTATTTTTAGTCTTTTGAGGAATCTCCATACTGTTTTCCATAATGGCTTCACCAAACTGCATTCCCACCAACAGTGTAGGAGGGTTTCCTTTCCTCCACACCCTCTCCAGCATTCAACATTTGTGGACTTTTGAATGATGGCCATTTTGGCTCGTGTGCACTGATACCTCATTGCAGTTTTGATTTGCATTTCTCTGATAACTAGTGGTATTGATATTTTAATAGTATATAGGATGGAATAATTTTTCATATTGACTTTATATCCTTGATCTTTTAAAATTCACTTACCAATTTTGACTTTTTCTGGTGGGGGGTTGGTGGAATCCATAAGTTTCCTATATACACAGTTATGTCTTCTGCAAATAATGACTGTTTTATTTCTTCTTCTCCTATCCTTATGCCTTTCATTTCTTTTTCTTGCCCATTATGCTAGCTAGGTTTTCTAGCACAACATTGAATAGACGTGGTAAGAGATTACATACTTGCTTGTTTCCCTATCTTAAGGGAAAAAATTTAATATTTCACCATTAAGTAGAATAATAGCTACTGGCTTTTTGTAGATGTTCTTGGCCTACAAAACCAGATCCAGGAATACTTGAGAAGGGCTGAAGAACAGGGAGACCATTACCTGTGACTACTAGCTAATGACATCTTATTTACTTAAGATGACTAAACAGGGTCTGTTTTTTCATCTCTTGAGTTGAAGAATCAACACAAATTTCAGAAACTGCCGTGGTACCCTGTGCCCCATTTCATACAGCAAGATTTATAGCTCCAATCTCCATCTCCCAAGGATACTTTATACCTTCCTATTATATGCTAAAATATCTATCATCTTAGTCAATGTATAAACACTATTGGATATAAATATTGATCACATACTTATTTGTAACTTCTAAATTGCCACTGATTGATATTTCTTGATATCAAAGCTCATGCTTTCCCCATGATATTACTGTTTTGTGGGCAGTGGCAAGATATTTAGGGTTTTAAAGTAGTGGGAGACACATTCATAGCCATGTGTTATGCCTCAGATGAACTTCAGGGAAGAAGCCCAAGCTAGGGAACCATTCATCTTTCTACCATAGTCATCAACAGTGAGATGGGCTCTGACCATTTCTCTCTGAAACTCCCTAATCCAGACCTTCCCTAAACTCCCAAAGTTTCCCCTACAAGATAGCATCTTGTCTTCAGAGAGGAATAAAATACTCTTGTTCTCCATTTTTGTCTTGGCAGGCCTCCCTTTTCTTTCTCTGGCAGAAAATGAATGACCTAGCACCTGACTTAGATAATAATGCCAGCACTAAATTATACCAGAAGTGATACCTACCAGAACCTAAGCGAGGAGGGCAGTTTCCAGGAACTCTGATTTTTCAGCGTATTCCCTGATGAAGTCCAGGATCTGGAGGAAACAAGCTCAAATATACCTGGACAGTTAAAGAGAAAGAAAGCTGGTCTCAGTCATAAAGCCACCTTTGGCCACAATCAAGGGTACACCCCAAAAGAAACTGAATCTTCTCCCTTGAATAATAACCCTCTAGTTGGCAAAGGAATTAGGCAAACCAGACATTGCAGGCAGAGCCTGGAGAGGAATAGCTGTCCATAGACGTCTCTTCCACATGTTGAGCGTTTCTGAGCCATGATGAGACCAGCTATTCACATCTGAAAACATCTAGTCTCATTCAAAATTTTTGCACTGGACAGGGAGCCAGGACTGGAATGGAGGTGGCTGGTGACTGGCCAGGGAGTTGCCCTGAACCTAAGACTGGTGGCCAGCTAAGGAGCTCCTTAGTTCTCCTTCCAGGCATCCCCAGATGCCCTCTTCCTGAGGAGCCTGTCGTGGGCACAGAACTCCTCACTTTCTCCTCTTCCCAGAGGAAGGGTCCTGGGACAGTATTTGAGGACGAACGGGTGTGGCAGGAGGCTGGGAGGATGCACAGCCTGCCTGGTTCCCAGCTTACTCTCATGGTAAGGCTCCCACAGCCCCAGAAAAGGCAGGGGCATGAGGTACAGATCAGAGGAGTCAGAAAATCTCAGGGACCAAGAATTCTGAGCAGGAATTAAGACCCTGGATTCTGTCATCACATTTCTTGGTTCAACTCCGAGCTCCACGACTTACTGCCTGCTGTGACCATAGGCGAGTTATTTAATCTCTCCATAGCTCACTTTTCTCATCTTTAAAAGGAATAATGGACTCCCCACCTCACAGGGTCACAGGTCACGCGAGTAAGGATTAAATGTGAATTGTCTTACAGTAATACTTCAATACCTGTTAGATATTCTTGTTCCACATACAAGTCCTTTCTCCTGCTTTTGGAGAAAGTACATGCCTGTGCTTCCTGCCTTTTCTTATTAAGGCGTTTCCAAAATTACAACACAACAATCTGAAGAATCTCCGAAACATCCCGCACACTTTCCGGAGGCGTTGGCACAGGGATGAGATCGTATACTGTTGCCTGGCGGTGAACGTCCCCTGCTGGGCGTGCCCAGTGGCTGAACATCGTGCGCGCGTGCAGGTCCACACATCTGTGCATCTACGTGTGTGTGTGTGCGACCTCCCGCCCGGAGACCCGCGAGTTCAGCAGTCCCGGGGTTGCTCCGCGCCGCCGGGGGGGCAGGGCAGAGCCATTGTTCAGCCGCGGACAGACTCCCCCCACCCCCCCACCACCTCCCGGCGCGTTCGCCACGGAGGGAGACGGGGCTCCACCCTGCCCGGCGGCCCCCGACCCGGGGCTTGCAGGCCGCCTCCCCTCCCACGCGTCTCGGCGAGCGGGAAGGCGGGGGTGGAGTTGTGCTTAGTGGTCGCCCGCCTGGCTTCCCCACTCTTTCCCGGGAAACTTCCCCAGTGACCATCCATTCCCGAAGTGCCTGGGGCCAGTCCTGGGCTGGCACCCAGCCCCCCTATTCCGGGACCGGGTCCTCTCTCTCTCTCCCAGAGAGAACGCTCCCGAGCGCCCCCGAGTCGGCAGGGTGCCGGGCAGAGGCCCAGCGGCTGGTGGAAGAGAAGCCGAGAAGGAGAAAGGGAGGGGGAGTGAGGAGCTCGCGGCAGGGGGAACAGCAGATTGCGCCGAGCCAATGGCAACGGCAGGACGAGGTGGCACCAAATTCCCTTCGGCCAATGACGCGCCAGAGTCTACAGAAGCCTATTAGCATTTCCCCAGGGGCAGGGGCAGGGGCAGAGGCTGGGGCTGTGGGGGCTGAGACGCGGTGTGTCTGCAGCATCCAGTTTTTGCGCCTCCAGCCCTCAGCACGCCGCGGCTCTCTGTCTCCTCCCCTCTCCCGCCCATGCGGCTCTCCCACGGTGAGCCAACTCTGCGCACTTTCCCTCTTGTTGGCAGAGAATAAAAGGGGTCTGAGGAAATACGGGACAGGTCACCCACTGCCAGCTGTAGCCTTTAAATCCCCAACCTGGGGAGATCCACGCACAGCGGGTCGAGTCCGGACACCAATCCAGCGCGCACGGTGCAGCAAAGGGTTCCAAGAGTGGCGCCGAGGATCGCCGAGCACAAGAGGGCTCGGGAACTAGTCTACGCTCAGTCCGGGCTGCCCCGAACTCAGCTCCGCAGTCTCAGCCCTGGGAAAGTGATCCCGGTGTCCGAGAGCCCAGATGCCGGCCCACTTGCTGCAGGAGGAGGTGAGCTTCCAAGTAATGGCTCCCAGACCGCGGGTTCGCCGGCGCTGGTTGGGCTTCTAGGTGACTCGGTGAGGAGAGAGTTTAGATCCCCGCGGAGGACATAGCCATCTTTTGCGAGTTGTTCTACCTTCAATTTGTTGGGAATGTGAATTGCAAGTTGGGAACGTAGTTCCCCCAACTGCTGTCTTTTAAGCTTTAAAGAAAAATCCGGTTGTGCCGGTATCTTTATGGATGTAGGCTTGCGGGTTTTCCTTTGTGCGTCCGTAGAGATGCGAGTGTTTTACTCCTTCCTATTGCCCCTTCACCTTGAGGTTTCAACCTCCTCCCCAGTCTCTCTACACAGTTCCTGGAGACTTACCTCACTTCCATTTAGCATAGACCTTGCCCTCTGTTAATCTGGGTATTGGAGCAAGATCTGTGCCTATACTCCACCCTTCCTCAGCTTGCTGTGGGAGTGAAGTGGCTCCTACTATCTCCACGTGTCCTCTCCTCTCTCCTGACTCGCCACTTCCTCTCCCTTCCAGATCTCTAGCTCCTACACAACCACCACCACCATCACAGCGCCTCCCTCCAGGGTCCTGCAGAATGGAGGGGACAAGTTGGAGAAGACTCCCTTATACTTGGAAGAAGACATCCGCCCTGAAATGAAAGATGACATATATGACCCAAGCTACCAGGATAAGGAGGGCCCAAGGCCCAAGCTTGTGTATGTCTGGAGAAACATCATCCTCATGGGTCTGCTGCATTTGGGAGCCCTGTATGGGATCACATTGATCCCTACCTGCAAGTTCTACACCTTCTGCTGGGGTAAGAGGTTCCCTTGTCCTCCTGACCCAGTACCCCAGGTTCTCTCCACTCTTTTAATAAAGTAGGATCTTACATAAAAACACCAGCACCTCCAGCACAGACTTTCCCAGCCACTTCACTTTGGTGTCATGAGAGGCTGGGTGGGCTGGGAACAGAGCCTATGGGGTTTCGGATGCAGGAGTGTCAGTTCTGGGGGTCCTTTAATTTAGGTGTTGGGGAGGGAACGCTGAGACCATGTGCTGCAGGCTTTAAAGTGAGTAGACCTGTGCCAGAGAGTCTGCTTTCCCTGAAAGAACTTTTCTGTTTCAGGTCATTTGCTTGACTGCTTATCCCAGCCCTGCCAGCCACGAAAGAATCAGGGACCCTGCCTAGAAGGCATGGGACCATGGGACTAGACCAGTGGCTTTAGGGGGTATATGCTGAACACAGTCATGGGATAGCAAGAGAAACTACTCAAGAAGAGAGTTAGTAGAAGAGGGAGAAAGAGAGAGGTGGTCATTCATGAAATGATTTTGCCCTGATATGTGGCCCAATCAGGCTGCTTAGTTATCCAGAGAGATGAAGAAGGCTCCTGCATAACCCAGGTTACCAAGATGGGTTGCTCTAGGACTCCACGTAGCTCTCCAGGGAACTGTACATGCCACTCATCAAAATGTTCTTGGCATGAAATAAGATTGAAGAAGTGTTTGGGGTCCCATTAGCCCCTCTCTCCTGATGCCATGAAGTGCCTCCTTGCCCGGGAAGGCCAGGCCAGACCAGAAAAGAAAGCCCTGAGCAGCCCTGGCCTTGAGGCTGCTGCAGTAGGGAGACAGTCTCCAGTGTGTCCCTGACCTGCCTTAGCTCAGCTCTTTGAGGAATCCATGGGCTTTGGCTGACAGCAGGGCCCTGCCCCCTGCACACACACATGTGCTCTGCAGGCATTTCCACCTCTGTCACCATAAGTCTGACTTGGGAAGGGAGAGCAGGGAACTCTAAAGACCCAGGGGCCCCATACTGCCACTCCTTAAGGCGGGGTGGGCCAGAACTCCCTCTCCAGAAAACAACTTGAGGGTTTCTAGAGCAGTCTCAGGCATGGGCTGCTTGCAATTGGCTGTGCTCTTGGAGGGTGGTTAGTAGTATAAGAGCTGGTAGGCCTACTTTCACCTGAGTCTTCCAGGACCTCTTTGGTCTAAAGATGGTAGATCTGGTCTGTGGAGCTTTGTCTTAGGAAATCCTCTTGATGCCACAGGCAGAGAAATGCATCTGGGTAGATCCGTTCTCTCAGTTTTTCCAGGTACAAACTGGGGACAACAGTACTTTTTATTTTTTTAAGATTAGAAAGGGTGCTCCTTAAGTTACACATGGATCATTTGGTGGGGCCGGCCAGGTGCAGGAAATCAGTTCATCTATAGACCAGGACAGGCTCTTATATTTGTGAGTGGAGGGGACATTTGTTCTCCAGCCCTTCTGAGAACCCAGCAGAACTTCAGTTGCAGCATAAGGAATCAAGAGCAGGGGCAAGGATTCCCCAGGGAGACTGTGGACTCCTCTCTCTATCCCTTCTGCCCAATAGAGGAGTGTTCACAAAGTGTTTAGTCACTTCCAAGCCCTTTCCAGTCTCAGGAGTCCCAGTAGCCTCTTTAAGTCCAGAGTTTGGCCAGACTGGCTGCTTCGCTCTTCCCCATCGGCTGCTAGTGCAGGAGGCAGAATGTGAACCCCAAACCAGGGCTGTGCCTGCTACCTTTTCGGGGCCCTGCCCATGGGTGTATGCTGTGCCTTTGGACAGAGAAACATGTCATGCAGAGACTGGTGACTTTTTTGCTCCTGTCCCTGGGCCCTGCGGTGGATGGCTTAGCTGATGGAATGAGAAATTTGGTAAGGGATATGAGAACTTCTCTGCCTTAAGGAACAAGAGGGGTTGGGGGGAGGGTCAGAGGTCTCACCTTCAGAGTTCAGGAGCTTGACTTCACCTTTTCTTGTTTTATCCCTAAGGACAGTGTTAAATCAGCAAATGGTTGTGATTCCAGTATTTCTCATGACTGAGCAATTTTGAGTGTGTCTCGGAAGAGCCCTGAGGGAAGAGCAGCAGAGTTATCTCTGGCCACCTGAGGGGCCATGGGGCAAAACTTCTCCAGTCTCTTATGGCTATAGCTATGAGGTTTTGCTTAACTATCAATTTGGACTTTAATAGAGAATGAATTTCCAACTGACACAAGGCCTTCTATTAGATAGGCTTAGAGGGGCTGATAGAAGGCACCAGAGGTCTTGGGTGCTTTTCCCAATTCCTCTGTTCATGCTAGGATCTTCTGTGCTTTCTGAGTCAACTTGCCAGGGTCTTCTGCGGCATGGAACAACCCCAGTAGCTTCCTTGGTTCTGAGCTAAGTGCTTCTTCTTTTGTGCCAAAGACATTTTTCTTCACCCTTGGTTATTGGCGGGCTTTGGCTCAGCTGTCATTTATCCAGGTACAAATGCAGGCAAAGGCTGCATCTGGGAGGATGTTATCACATGGCCAGAGGCCAGCAAACCACCTGGGGCCCTAATCCAGTCCAGAGGGGCTACAGGTAGAATTTTCATTGAGACGGACTCTGGCTCCATGGCTATCTTCCCGATCCTGTAGGGGGAACAGGATGGGGTACAGGAAGATGGGCAGGATGGGGGCTTGTTTAGGAAACTGGTATCTATGGCTGGTGAAGAACACAGGACAGTTTGTTGCAATGTGTGGTGTCACCAACAGCAACTAAGTTCAGTGGCCACTGAGGATCCATTGTTTCTAGCTGCTTCCCTAGGAATGAAACATTGTCAACAGTCACTGCTCTACCAAGGCCCCAGCCTCTGCCTGCTAGAGCTACTGAACAGGGGAAGGTGGGTACACCCAGCTACTCACTTCCCAGTTAGAGACTATCTGGCGCCCCCCGGGGCTGCAGGTCTCCGGGAAGGTGAGGCAAGACAGCCTTGGGGTGCTCCACCCACAGCTTTGAGCCTGTCCCATTGTCTAGAATTAGCCTTGCCGGAGGGTGTATGGGTGAAGGAAGGACCTAGCAAAAGAGAGATGCGGGAACTGTGTGCATATCTTGGGGAGGTGGATGGTATACATACTCATGCCAGAGTTCAGGAACACGAACTGCTTGTTAACAGAAAACCTTGTTTCACACCATGGCTCCAATTCTTACTAGCTGTGTGACCATGGATAAACACTTAACCTCTCTGAGCATTTATTTCTTCAACTGCAAGGTAAGGCTCTTAAACCCCATTCAGGGTATCCAGTGAATCTGGGAATATAAAATCTTTGGCGAGGCTTAAGACACTGTGCAGATATGACTTAAGTGCAGGGTGAATTTTCCCCTTCTATGCCTGCTAAAAGATTGAAATGCTTTTGTACCAGTGGGTCAGTAGCCCTAGTCCTAAGCCCCCTTAAAGTCCCCTAGAATCTAGGGTCCCCCAAATTGTTGGTGCCCAAACCATACTGTCTGCTAAATATTTTAATACTACCCTTGCTTATGGGTCTTAAGCTCTGTAGGAGTGGTCTGTGGTCCAAAAAATGTTGGAGAAGGTGAGCGGAAGGTCAGAGGAGATGAGACCTGGGATAACATCCCTCATGACTGAGAAGGACAAGTGGCTGGTGGCGGGGGGGAGGGGTGAGAGCTCTCTTCTCCGTCCTGCCTTTCTGAAGTTCCTGGAACTCCTAAGCTTATTCCAGCTCCTAGGTTGGGAGGATGGGAGGTGATGGTATTTTTCAAGTGGTAAAATCAAAGAGGCCCAAGAGATCAGGGTATCCATCAAGTTCAGGGTAAAGCAGCGTCTTACCAGAAGCCTGAGATTAGAACACACACACTCTGACCTAGGGAGAACATCATGAAAATGCTTTCCCAAATTAGTGACTCCCACTCTGTCTTCTCCCGGCAGTGCTTTTCTACTATATGATGAGTGCCCTGGGCATAACAGCAGGAGCTCATCGCCTGTGGAGTCACCGATCTTATAAAGCTCGGCTGCCGCTGCGGGTCTTCCTGATCATTGCCAACACCATGGCATTCCAGGTAAGAAGCCAGCTGTGCTCAGCTCTTCTTTCCTCACTCTGTCGACGAGGGCAGAATGGTGGCGATCGGTGCCTAGAGAGGAGCAGCACCTGGAGAGCCACTTCACTTTCCTCTCTCCTTACGGTCACCTCAAGTCCAGGCTCAGTCCTCACGGCCATAAAACATGAGCATATTTCTGAGTCGCTGGAAAAGGGAAATAGGAGATAAAGAGGAAGTACTCGCAGTGTATTGGATCGTTTTTGATGCCCTGTTATCGCGCAGTCTGGCTGTTGTGGCTCTTCTTAAGTGCTTGAGTAGGGACTGACCCTGGTTTCCTGGGCATACATTGGACAATAAGTTCACTCTTTTAGGTGAATGACTTATTTCACCACAGTGGGGTTGAAGTTAATGTTTCACACATTCATGAACTCTGTTGTTTTCAGGTAAGAAGAACATACACTCATAGTGCCGCGTATGTGCCTGGCACTATTCTAAGCCCCTGACGTAGATTACTCCATTAAATCCTCACAGCCATCTTAGGAGGTAGATACTATTATTATTCCCATTTCACAGATGGGGAAATAGTGTCACTGAGCATTTAGGTAGACCAACATTATAGTCCTATGTTGGGCTGCCAGGCTGCCTAAGTCAAGCATTGAGGTTTGTTGAAGCAGAAAGTTTGTAACAGATAGAATGAAGGGATTTGGAGGGTGAGAACTCACAGTTATTCAGCAGCAGCAATGAGCAAAGGATAACATGTAGTGTGGGGCTTAGCTTGAAGCAAGAGGAAAAAAGAAGGAAATTGGTCCCCTTCGTCATGGCAATATCCCACAGTCACATGATCACCTCAGCCATAGTGCTTTACACTTTTTGATGTTGTCCTTGTAGGGCAACAAGGAGGAAGATACTGGAACCCTCTCTAAGGGATACAAAGGGCCCCAGAGGAGCCCAGAGCTCCTTCGGAAATGTCAAATCATGATTTATGTGTCTGGCCTTGTTAAGTTGTATGAGCTGTCTCTTGCCAAGGCATCAGAATGGAGCTGCCTATAGCTTCAGCCACTGACCGGGACGCTTGGTCACAAGGCTGCCTGCCTCTTATTCTCCACGCCCAGGGAATTAGGCAGCCCACGAAGACCTCTGCCACGATTTCTTGCTTGAAGAATTGCAGTGTTCTCTCCTGATGAAACTCTCTGAGCTCTGTCTTATCTACCTCCATTCTGCCCACCATGTAACCCTCAAGCAGCAGCCCTATTCACATGCTCCTGAGGCTTTAAGTTGCTTTTCCACCTAAGCTTCAGCGGCAAGTTGGGGGAAGAGAGGAGGCAACTCTATAACTCTTCCTTTGGAGCCCCGATTCCTGGGTGTTCTGTGAGGCTGGGCAGAGCCCTGGGCTCTTGAAGACACCTCACGTGGGCATCCCCTGAGAGGGTGTCTCTCCTCAAGCCTCATTCTTCTTCTCTGTCCCTCCAGAATGACATTTTTGAATGGGCCCGAGACCACCGTGCCCACCACAAGTTTTCGGAAACAGATGCTGATCCCCACAATTCCCGACGAGGCTTTTTCTTCTCGCATGTGGGTTGGCTGCTTGTGCGCAAACACCCCGCTGTCAAAGAGAAAGGTGCTTTGCTAGACTTGTCTGACCTAAAAGCCGAGAAGCTGGTGATGTTCCAGAGGAGGTGAGTGGCGCCATGATGAAGATGGGCACCTGGCATTCGGGGGACCCCTTTTTACTCCTACAACAATAAGCTGAGAAACTGAGTTTGAAACCCTAGTTTTTAACAGCCCAAGGGCCCCCAACCTTAGACTGTTGTTGTTTCTTTCTCTCTGAGCTTTCTTAATTAAATCAATCAAATTCAACAAATGTTTGTTGACCTAGGACAATGATGGATACAAAGCTGAATGTTGTCATAGTCTTTACCTTTAAGGAGTTTGCAGCCCATGGGGGAGAGGAGAGACAAGCCAAGGGTCCAAATACCTTTGATAGGTGGCAAAATATTTTCTATACCCATGAGAGTCACCAAGGGGAGGGAGATCGTGGAGTGGGGAACATCAGGGAAGGGTTTGTGAAGAAAGTAGCTTTGGAATCCACTGATGGGTAGAGATTTTCACAGGTGTGTGGGGGCGGGGGGGAGGGACAGAGCAAACAAAGAATGAGCTGAAGTGGGAAGCATGTTCCAGCAACCGAGTCCTTTTGCTTGAAGTACAGGGTGTGGTAGGAAATAAGACTAGAGAGACCAATACCATTCTTGCGGAGTTTTCAAAGCAGGCAGGGCTTAACTGAACCCAGGCAGTAGGAAACCATGGAAAGGTTTTTGAGCCAGAATGTCGCATGGTCAGAGGTGTGCTTTAGAAAGGTGACTCTCGGAATAGGTGAGAGAAGCCATTGAGCCACTGAGGTGAGAAGCAGGGTGACAAGTCAGGAAAATGGGGATTGGTGCCGGGGAAGTGGAAGGAAGAATGGAGAGGAGTTGGAGGCAGGGAATGCTAATGATATGAGCGGATCAGACTTGACTGCTCAAGAGATGCAGGCAATCAGTCCCTTGGGAGTCAGTGGCCTGCTCTCCATTTGGGGGAATGGGACAGGGCCTCCAGAGGGACAGGCCTGCAGACGTCCAGGACACTCAGTGTGCCTTGCTGAGGGAAAAGAAGAGGACGGCTTAGAGGGTGGCTAGCAGGAAATGGAGGCAAGATACTACACATAGATTCTGCACAGAGCACTGACAGACAGGAAGGAGCCCAAAGGCAGAATGGGAAAACCTGGGAAGGAGAACTCAGTACATTAGTCTATAATTTGGACCTCACCTCTTTAACCAATAGGGTATTATGCTGCAGTTAAAAAAAAAGAGCGATAGATTTAGAGTCAGGAGACAAAGCATTCCAATCCTTGCTCCACCGGTTCCTGGTGGTATGACCCTAGAAAAGTCATTGACCCTCATGACCTCATCTGAAAAGTATGATAATTCTCAAAAGATTTCCCACCCCATTCCCTCTTGCTCTGTTTCCTGCCACATTGTACTCACCAGTGTAGAAGGAAGGAGACAGCCCAACCCTGTGAGAGTGGAAAATCAGGTAGGTTTTCAGAGTCCTGTCTCTGCTGACCAGGCATGTGATCTCTCCATGTAGGTACTACAAACCCAGCATCCTGCTGATGTGCTTCATCATGCCCACACTCGTGCCCTGGTATTTCTGGGGTGAAACTTTTCAACACAGCTTGTACGTTGCCACTTTCCTTCGTTACGCCATTGTGCTCAATGTCACCTGGCTGGTGAACAGTGCTGCTCACCTGTACGGATATCGCCCTTACGACAAGACTATTAACCCTCGAGAGAATATCCTGGTTTCACTGGGAGCTGTGGGTAAGTCCGCAGTCCACAGCAAGAACACATCAAGTGGTCTGCTGGTTGGGATATTAGGCTAGGAGTGAGAAAAACCAATTAGCCTGTTTTATGACCCCTCTCTAGCTGTCTTTCCACCATAAAACTAAGGGGCATATTAGAAAATCCTTGAGGGTGAGATAAGTCCTATGTAAAGAGAAGAGGGTAAAAAAATAGCAATGCCTTTGATTCCAGGTTCCCAAATAACCCCCAGATGTTGTGTGTGATGAGCCCCTTTGAGTTGTCCTTTTTCCAGTCATCTCTGGGCTGGGTGGTGGTCTTGCTTGGGGTAGGGAATACATATAAGTAGACCAGGAGGATCATCTGGGTGGCTGGTAAGCCTAGTGTTTTTATATTTCGACATGCTGGACAACATGTAGAACAAACACTTGTCATTTAATCCAATAAGCTTCTATTTTATCACCTTGCTCTATTTATGCCTTATTGCTTGGTGATGCCAGTCTGAGGGTCATCAAAGCAACTGCTTGTGGCCCTTTATCACCACCTACCACTCTCATCTCTTATCCTTTATTTTTCTGTCTTCTGCTGCTATTTTGTTCTGGGAAAACTCTTTCCCCTCAGCATGGCTTAGGAAACTCCTGATAAAGCCATTCATTTGATCACAACTCAAGTTCACTGATCTAATGCCGACTATTCAAGAATTTGTTTCTGTCATTCCAGTTCCAGTGGCCAGAGCTGAAGACAACAGGGTTCTACCATCTGTCTGCACTTTTTTTCTGCTTCTCTTTTGAACTAAATATAGATCTTGACTAAGGCCTGGAGTCAGTTTTCCTTATGCAAACCCCACAGCCTCTTCCACACCAGTGATCATTGCTGTTGGTCATCCAGCATATCTAGGCAACCTCCCCGCACCACACATTTATGTGCACCATGGCCTGGCATCCACTTTTTTCTCTAAAATCTTCCTTTATATTCTCAACTCGGACCATCTTTTTTTTACTCTCTGTACTAAAGGCATTTTTCCCCCCATCTCCTTTTAACCTTTATGCATCTTCCCCTTCCTTTCAGGGACCTTCCACCATGTGCATGTTCTTATTCTGAACCATGTTAGAAATCAATCATAGAGTCTATTTTCACAGAAAATTTATAAATACTCTAGAAGTTTCTGGAATGAGATTGGTCTTTAACTGCAAATGGATCTTCCCCAACTCTGACCTCTTTATGACCGTCCATTCAAAGTGACTGCCAGTATCTTCCTTTGTCTCAGTTATCAATTGTTCCCCCATACCTGTGGTTCTCCCTCTTATCGCCTCACCCTCTGTTCTCTGGTAGCTGGCTTCTGTGCCATTCGAATCTTTTTCTTTTTGAATTACCTCCCCCAAGTCACACGCACATCTTCTCTCTGCCAAAGCTGACCTCCCCCCTTAATTCTATCTTGGGCTGTATCTCACTGCCCCAGTTGCAAAGTCTTATCCTTCCACCCACTCTCTTTTTTATCTCTACCTCCCTTCTCTTTTTTTCTCCTTCGGCAACAAGTGTGTGTCTGATTCTGTTTTAAGCTTGATGAGTATCGGCCTGGCTAGTGCCTAAACAGGACCTAGCTGCAAAGTCAGTGATGAAAATGAGCAATCCTCCTTCAGTACCTTTAGCCTTAGGGTCCTCTCACCCTCCTAGTGAGTTCACTGCTCTCCTGGGGCCCTTTCATCTTCAAAGGGCTGGACTTGCTCCTTTACTAGCTATTCTCCACCCAACTTTACTCCAACCTTATAAGGGCTGGTATTGTTATTGTTGAAGGGGGTTCAGAAAGAAGATCCTGCCAAATGTTGGAGAACTCTTGTCTGTGGAGTTTCCACGGTTCTACCCTTTACAAAAATTATCCTGAATCGAGAATTTCTTTGATTTTCCTCTGTCCAGCCAAGTGAACTGCTCATTTCAGGTTATTCGAGGTTGGAGGGAGTACCTAAGCCTTTTGATTCTTGTTCCCTCTGAGAGCTTCTGTTTTATCGACATCACCTCTGCACCAGGGTTAAAGTTGAAAGAATTAGAAGCCAGAACAACCCACTCTGAATCAGGCCCCTGGGCTGGGCCTACTTTCTTCCGACTTTTGATTGTTGCTGCCTAATTCTGTTGGTACCTTCCACGCCTAGAGATAGTACCAGTGCAGTGGGGAAAGGTGTACTCCTTTTTCACCTTTGTAAAAAACATAGCAGAAGTTCTTCATTCTGGGCTCTCTCCTCTCCCCACCCTAACACTTGCACATACAATGGAGAGCCTTCAGGGTCTCAGACCGATATTTAGTGAAGCTCTGAAACTGTCCCATCTAAAATCCATTCTCAGCAACAGCAGTTTCTTTCTAGTCCTCTCTCCAGTCATCTCTCCTCAGGGAAATGGCCAGTCCTCCTCCCACAGAGGCTCCCAGAGAGCTATGGCAACCAGCATCTCCCCTGTCATTTCTTAAGATGCTTCTGAGGGGATCTGTTTGGTTCAGAGTTGAAAAGACTAGGGGCGAGGATATAGCTCAAGTGGTGGAACACATGCTTAGCATGCATGAGGTCCTGGGTTCAATCCCCAGTGCCTCCTCCAAAGATAGATAAATATAGGTACCACCCCCCCCAAAAAAAGTTAGGAAAAACTATGTTCATTCATTCATTCATTCCACAACAGCCAATTTCTACTAAGTCTGAGGTACTCTGCTAGGTAATTGGTCTGCCAAGATCAGGAAATCAGCAATCTACAGTGTAGCTCCTTAATTATCTCCACTTTTGTTCCAGGTGAGGGCTTCCACAACTACCACCACTCCTTTCCCTATGACTACTCTGCCAGTGAGTACCGCTGGCACATCAACCCAACCACGTTCTTCATCGATTGCATGGCTGCCCTTGGTCTGGCTTATGACCGGAAGAAAGTATCCAAGGCTGCCATCTTGGCCAGGGTTAAAAGAACTGGAGACGGAAGCTACAAGAGTGGCTGAGTTTGGGGTCCCTCGGGCTCCTCTTCCAAAAGCCAGCTGGGCAGAGGTTTAATGTTCTGTTTATTAACTACTGAATAATGCTACCAGGATGCTAAAGATGATGATGTTAACCCATTCCAGTACAGTATTCTTTTAAAATTTCTTTTAAAATTGAGAACCAACAAGTCTGCCTTCATGATGCTAAGCTAATATTCTTATTTCTTCTCTTCTCTTCTCTTCTCTTCTCTTCTCTTCTCTCTCTTCTCGTCCTATTGTCCTTCTCTTTGCCTTGTTCCTATCACCTTCTTTCTGTCTCTCCCCCCAACCCCCATTGCCTCCCAGGCAAGCAGCTGGTCAGTCATTGGTGAGTTTCCAGCTTCCAAAGCCTAGACAGTCTTCCTTGAGTCCAAAGGATAACTCTTTCCTGGAGCTGTCCTGAGCTTTAAGGTGGGTGGCTCAAGCTAGAGATATGACATCTTCTGGGAAGGCCCCTGTTAATTATCTTCAGCCTAGGCTTTTTCTAGATGAAATGGAAAAATAACTGTATTTTGGCACAGCTTTGAAAGCAGGTAAATTTTCAGGGGAGCGAGTTAGCATGCATGGTATGATGGATACGTGAGGATGAGGTGAGGTAGGAAACAAGGCACGAAGCTCCTGTTATGACCAGACACCCAGCTGCCTGCCCAGTGAGAGCTTCAAGCCCCACCACACAGCGCGCCGCCTTTCTCCCCTGACTCTGCCCAGGGAACGGCCGTAGAGCTCAGCAATGCTCAAACTCAAAAGCAAATCTCTACGTCCCAGTATACTTTAGGCTGCAGATAAAGAAGTATTTAGTTTTTGGTAAAAGTGGTCTCTGCTGGGGAAGAATTTTTTTCTTCTTCTTCTTAAATGGTAGGAAGATTTCTTATTCCATATAACAAGAAATCTTCAGCTTGGCTGTTTCCAGAATTGATGAATGCGGCAGCTTATGGAATCGTCACAACTCTTTCATCTTTCTGCTTTGCCATCTTGGGGCTGTTGGTCAACTCCCCTCATAGTAATAAGGTGGCTGCAGCGTTTTGAGATATCCAAAGAAGGGATGCTTTGGTGGGACAGTGGTGAACATATATGCCTTCCAAAAAAGAAAGGATTTTAGGCAGTGGAATTGGGTCAAACATAACGATACACACACACACACACACACACACACAGGTACTTTGCTTGGAATATTAAAATCATTCACTTGGAGTATTTTCCTCTAAAGGAGAGGGAGGCTTTGAAGATGAAGAAGAATTAGGTGATCTGTCTGCTTTCCTCTCACTGCTGGACAGGAGATGGAGAGGTTGAGGGGCAGGGTCTGTAGGCAGTTTCTAAGAGACAACATTACAAGAGAAGGGCTCTGAGAATACGTGTTGCTGGGGGATTCAGAAGGTTACTGAGTAAGGTGTTGGGTGCCCTAATATGGAAGCTGGCTGGTTATACAAACAAGTTAGATGTTGGGTCCATTCATTCATTCCAGTTTCCCTCGGAATGAGTGAAAACTAGAAGGCTTCTCCCTACGGTGTCAAACCCTTTCACCCTTTCCTTCTGTTAACTCCTAGCCTAAAGTATAAGACTGCCTAGGGGGGTGAGGTGGGAATCTCTTAACTACCCCGACTATTGATTCCTGCTCTGTCTGTCCATTTTCTCCTGCCAGTTCTATCTCCTCCCTGTTGTTTTCTTCTTTCTCTGGACAGGCACGCCTCCTTTGTGTGTTTTCAGAGGCAGCTCCCTCTCCTACAGACAGAATGCTCAGGGTCACTGAACCACTGTTTCTCTTTATAAAGTTGAGCTAGCTGCCACTTTCACTTGGCCTCCAGAGTCTCCACCTACACCCTTGTGCTCCCCAGCCACACTAATAACTCAAGACAAGGCTGGCAGATCCTGCTAGAAACATCCCAAGCACAGGCATTCTCTCTCATGAGGCACAGCCAAGCCAAATGCTTGTGTTGTATCAGTGAGCCAGCCATGGAGCAAAAGAGGGTTTGTTTTCAGTCTCCTCCGCCTGGGTCAAACCAGAGAGCATGCTGGATGCCTCTGCTCACTCGGTAGGCCTGCCCAACCTGAGTCAATGCTCCCAGCTGATGGGTGCGATGCTTGCAGAGTTAGGAGGGAGCCTAGTCTTCACTGGGAAGCACAAAAAGCAAAGGCAAAGTTCCAAAGTGCCTCACTCCAGAGGAGACCCCTTGCCCCGGAGCCAGGGTATATGGCAAAGCTTTGGCTGAGAATTGAGATCTGAGAGGCCATGAACTTTACTGAACTCTCTGTTTAACAAACTAACCAGCCCTCCCCACAACATAGCCTAGGGCAGACAATAGCATAGAAGAGGTCTGAGAAAAACAAGATCAGTGTTTCGAGTACCTTGGACCACTCCTGTCCCTGTAACCTTAGTTGTCAATGCAGCAGCCTGGCTTTACTCTCTCAAGATTGGAAATGTACAGTACCAAACATTCTGTCCACGGTTGAGCCCCAGTGATGGAAGGGAGGAGGGCATTTCTTCCTATATCAATTGAATAGATTTCTAATTGATGATCAAAGACAACTTTACCCTTCTCTTCTGATTGTGTTGATGGATCTGATCCATACCACAACTCTTATGCAAGGCTGGATGGGCTCATCAGGCCGAAGGCCCCAGTGTGTATGTGGACATGTAGGTGGGGCGAGGGGGTGTCTGCTGAGTAAGGAATCCTTTTTTCAAGATTCTAAAGCTGAATTCAAATGACCCAGAAACTCAGATCTGATGGAGTGTGAATTTCTAACAGTCCTTGCTTTGTAGGCGTGCTGACAACTTATCTGGGTGCCTTACATCTTTTCTAATCAGTGTTGCATCAGAGCCTGCTCTTGCTCCCTCCTTTCTCCCTCTGTGGAGGTCCTTTGCACCTGAGAGCCTGCGGAAGTGGCTGGGAGAAAGGGGGGCCTAACTGGAGAATGATCAGTATAGCTATTTGCAGAATTCCCTTCTGGAAACTTTCTGTAGGGCTGTTTTTATTAAAAGTGCCCACATTTGATGGAGGGTGGAAGGAATCTGAATGTATTTGATTTATAATTTCTTTTTTTTAGATTAAAAGATGGTTATAGCATTTAAAATGGAAACTTTTTCTCCTGGTTAGCTAGTATCCTGAGTGTATTCTCTGTAAGTGTAGCTCAGATGGGTCAGCGTGAAAAGTTAAAGAAAGCACCATGTCAATGTTAATGCAGTTGGTTACGGCCAGGGCCTCTCCTACCACTGTGCCACTGACTTGCTGTGTGACCCTGGGCAAGTCATTTAACTATAATGTGCCTCAGTTTTCCTTCTGTTAAAATGGGATAATAATACTGACCTACCTCAAAGGGCAGTTTTGAGGCGTGACTAATGCTTTTTATAAAGCATTTTGGGATCCTTCAGCAGAGGAATTCTCTTATGTCCTGAATATTTTTATAGTAGCAGTATCCACCATGAACCATGTCCACCATGAACCATGTGTCCTGGATGCTATCCTCAATCCATATGGTTCTCTCTGAGTGATGGAATATAAACCCATTAGATAAGTGGTGGATAACTAGCCAGACAAAAGTTGAGACTGCAAACTCATTGCCATGGAAACATACAAAGGATATCTTTTCCTTGATTGGGTGGGATTTTTCCCTTTTTATGTGGGATAGTAGTTATTTGTGATCTAAGAATAATTTTGGAATAATTTCGGAATAATTTCTATTAATATCAACTCTGAAGCTAGTAGTACTGATCTGAGGTTGTGTTTGTTCATAATAAAAGTGAAGTGAATTTGATTGCCCTGCCTGTGTCTGGGAGTTTTTTGGGCTGCAATTCAAAGTCTCTTGGGACTTACCTACCATCCTATTTATGTCCTGCTCCTGTACCTTTAAGAGTGAAAAAGAAGCAGAAGCTGCAATGGTTGACTCATGCTCCAGTAACCGGCCCTGCCCTCCCTGCCTTTCCTAGGGGTAACTCTAGGTTAAACTCAGCCTTGGCGCAGGAAACCAGGAGTCTGCTGCCATTAGAGCAAACACATTAACACCAGCTGGCACTTTGGACCTAGGTTTCCCCAGGTCTCTGTGTGTGTCCCATAGTCATATGGCCCCAAAATAAAGATACTGAGCAAGGAAGAGAGCAGCAGGAGCCACACTCTGGAGAGCAGTGCTTTACCTTGCAACCCAGGCTGGGCCCGTCCAGGTCGTTCTAAAATGTATTTCCTCCTGGTGGTTGGGAGGGTCGGGTCGGGTGGGGGGTGAGGAGGGGAGTAGCTTCCTGAAACTGCTGATTAACAACAGCAGGCAGAAAGGAAAAACAATCTGAGGGAAGGCTTGTAAATTCCTGAAACAGAGAGGGCTTCAGGATCATTAGGTAGGAAAGGCTTTAGCTTTTCCTACTTTATCTGAGAAACTTTGCGTGGGAAAGAAAAAGACTTTTTACAGTTTGAAGAAGCACCATCCTCTAACAGGAGCCACCTGGACAATAACTAGGCTTTTTAAACATTCCCCAGAACCAACGCCCCTCATTTTCTAATTTAAGGCTGCCCTCACCTTGGACAAGAAGCAAGGCTCCCTCAGTGATTCTGAGCATCTAAAATCAAGTCCATATTAATTGAGGCCTTACCAGACCTTAATAACTTAGCTTGACAGTGACACTTCCTTAATATCTGGTTTCCCACCTCTTTCCCTCTGTTTTGTTTGAAATGTTCAGGTTGGACCATTTTTTCTGTTATTCTATAATTGTACTGTTCCTTCCAAGTCTCTGCTTTGCCTTTGGAGACAAAGACACCAGACACAGGACAAAAGGACGGCTGCTATAAACTCTAGCGAGTCTAGGATGATACTTTTGTGATACCAGGTGCCTTGGGAAAATCCATATATGCACCATTTTTTCTATTAGATAAAGGGGTTGAGGCCATGCATTAACACAAACCTTGCAAACTTTTGATGAAGGAAACCCAAGTTCTGAGTCCACCAGACCCCTAGATGCCATGATGACATAACCAGGCATGGTACTGAGGGCTTGACAGTGCATTATCGCATCATACCAGAAGCAGGTGCTATTCTCACCCCAATTTTACTGACAAGGTAACTGAATTCACTGAGAGAGAAAATATGCTTCGAGAGAGTGAGCTATGCTGCTGTGATCCAGCTCCAGGACTTTGCTCTTTAACTGCTCGCCATGTGGGTGTGAGGTAGATGACAAACTAGATAAGCCTGGAATCCGTAAATCTCACATATGCAAGTAGATGTCCCATGCTCTTCAGTTCTACTCAGAGGCAAAGCTTGGTTGCAAAGTCAAATTGCAGGTGTGTCCTCTGTCCCAGAAGAACCCAACTCACTCCACCCCGTGCCCTGTTTTAACATTCAGCCACACCTGACTTTGACATTTCCTCTAAACTTCTGCAAACCATACTGCACCCTCCTGTCATGTTTTGAGATCCTTATGGGCATTTCTTCTTTTACAAGTGTCTCCTGCACCTAAACAATCAGTGCTTGCTAAAATTATTGAAAGAGCTCATGTCTTGTTTTAAAATTCTCTCTGCAACAAATTGTGTGAAAAGTCACAGGGAGTGGTAGCTGTATTCTGTGACCTGTAGTTAACTTATAATGCCTCTGGGGAAGCGCTGATTCTTGGAGGCTTTGGAGCAAATGCCACAGGCCTTAATTGTAGGTTCTGAGAAGTTGAGATTCTATACTGGGATTGCTGGAGGCAAAGAAAGTCCCTTTTGGGGACCCAGTTCTGCCCCTCCCCTACCCGGGCCAGCCCAGCCTGCTGTACTCAGGCCACAGAGAGCTCACAAAGCCCAAGTGTCTGCTGTACTGACTCCTGGCACTTCTGCATCCAGGCTAAGGCCAGCTCAGAGGGGCCCAGGGGCCAGCTCCCATAGGAGCAGTGAGTAGCTGGGGCCATGCCAGGCTTTAGAACTTTGTGACAGACCAGAGGGATGAGCGATGAGAGGAAAGTGAAACTGAAAGGGCACAGAATTGCTTAGCATGGTGGTTGGAATCCTTAGACAATTCTGAACAGCAGTCAGGATTCACCCTTGGGTCTTTTTGTTTGTTGGTTTCCTATATATATGTTTTACGTAAAATTCACATACCATAAAAGTAACCATTTTAAAGTGAACAGTTTGGTGGCATTTCATTCATTCACAATGTTGTACAAGCACCACCTCTATCCAGTTCCAAAAGCTTTTCATCAGATCAAAAGAAGGCTGTACTTCTTCAACAGCCCCTCTCCATCTCCTCCCCTCCTGCCAGGCCCTGGCAACCCCGAGTCTGCTTTCTGTCGCGATGGCTTTACCTATTCAGGATGTTTCCTATAAATGGAATCCTATAATATATGACCATCTATGTCTTGCTTCCTCCTCTTAGCATAATGCTTTCGAGGGTTACCACACTGTAGCCTGTACCAGTACTTCGTTTTCTTTTTATGGTCAAATAATATTCCATTGTATAAATATACCAGACTTGGTTTCTGTATTCATCTGCTCATGACTATTTAAGCTGTTTCCACCTTTTGACAGCTGTGAACAGTTTTGCTATGAACACTCGTGTATAAGTCACTGAGTACCTGTTTCAGTGCATCTGAGTTTCTACCTAGGAGTGGAGCTGCTGGGTTATACAGCAAGTCTATGTTTAACTCTTTGTGAAAACACCAAACTGTTTTCCACAGTGGCTGCAGCACTGTACATTCCCACCAGCAATGGGTGAGGTCACCTTTTATTCTTAATATGTGCCCATTTTTTCCTTTCCTCCTTCTTACTTCCAAGAAAGCCAGTCCCCACAGACTTCCCTTTACCCTGGAGTGGAGGGTGGGAGAAGCTGCACCTCTAGTAGAAAGATGATCATGGCACAAAGCTGGGCAGTGGGAACCCCTCTGTCATGCTCTGCCTTTTTGCTCTTGCCTTTTCCACAAATAGGACTCTGTGACCAGGAACAAGCGAGGACAGGCTCCCATCTCCCTGCGGCACACCCACCACAGCCATTTGTGTCACCCCACAAAACTAACCCCACCCCTGAGCGCACTCCAACACCTCCATCCTTACATTGAACATTCCATTAAACCATCTTGAGCAGCCAAAGCTGAGAGCAGGAAAGGAAGCTCTGTCCGGAAGCTGTCAGCCTGGCTCAGACCTGCAAGCAAGTGTTTTAACTCTCACCTCAAGCTTAAAATCTCCGAAGACACAACTTTCAGCCTTGCCCTGCCCAAGCTTCCCCGCTAAAGGGCCTGCCTGTCTGGGCCTGTCTGGGCCTGGCTGGTAGCAGACATGAATGGAGGGGAAGAGCCTCCCTCTCCACCCCTCTCACCGGGGTTACTGCCGGTCACAGAGCTATTTACATTTACAACAGCCCAACAGCGCCTGATCTAGCCGGAGCCAATCAACAGCGCCGGAGCTTGTCTGACTCCGGCTGCTCCAATCAGGAGATGCTATCCTTACAGCCTCTCTCTGAATCAGAGGTCGGCCGCGGCCTCTTTTGGGGAGGGGAACCTGACTCAGAGCTCGGCTCCCCAAGACCTCAGTTTGCCATTCTCTGGAATGGGAAAAATACTGAAAGACCGTTCAGCTCGGGAGATAGCTGCACTGGGGAATTCTGGGAGAGCTTTACACAGGAATGGAGAACGCTGTTCCTCCCCAGCACAGATCCAGTGCTTCTCCGCTTTGAAGAAATGTAAAGAAAATTTCTCCCCCCTCACTGCTTGCCCCTCCCTAAGGCAGAATTATCTACGTGGACTTTTAATCCACAGCTGCCTTTGAGGTGGTGTGAGACCTTACTAACCATGACAGCCCAGAAGGCACTGCTAATCTGTATTCTCATCTGCAATGGTGCAAACACCTGTCACGTAAGAGCGCAAAGAATCAGCAAAACAGGCTAAAGACTGGATAGTCACAGGGTCGAGCAGAAGCAGGAGCTTGTTTGGGAGCAGTGAGGGCTGATGTAACCGGAGGAGTGAGCAAGTGGGAGGGAACGTGGAGAGGAGGCTTGAAAGCCAGCCTGGAGAGCTTAGACTTGCTTCTGTAAACTACAGGGAACCACTGGTTATTTTCAAGAGGGAAAGGAAAATATCTCCGTGTTTCAGAAAGTTGACACTGAGGGCAACGTAAAGAACAGATCAAAGAAGGACCAGATTCAAGCTGGAAGATCAGTTAGGAGGAGGTCACAGGACCTAAAAACTAGGATAGTGATGGTGGAAAGGGAAAGGAAGGACATAGGTTGAAAGGTATTTTGGAGTCAAATCAATAGCACTCAAATGATTGGATATGTGAGATGAGTGGGGCGAGGAGTCAGAGATGACTTTGAGGTTTCTCTTCTGTGGTGACTGGAAAGGTAGCACCTGCACTGAGTGAAACAGGTCTTTTAACAAAAGAGAGAGAAAGAAGCAGAGTTTGGAAAGGGAGCAGGAGTTCAATTTTTGACGTGTAGGGTTTGAGTTACAAGAATATCCTCATGGAAAAAAGACCCAGTAGACAGGGGTGTTTAGAAGAGAAATAAAAATTAGGTCCAAAGAGTTTACAGTGAATCTAGGACTGATCACCTGGGAAGGGGTTACAGAGTAAGAAAATTCAACGACAGCATCTTGGGAAGTACCAATACTTAACAGATAGAAAGAGGACACAGCAAAACCTAGACTAAGGAAGTATGAGATATGAAAAAAAACAAACAAACAAAAAAAAAACCAAGCAAACTAGAAATAGAGAAATAAAAAATTAATTCCAGGAAGAGGGAGCAAGACATTGTAAAAAAAAAAAAGATATCTGACAAAAGGAGATTGGTTAAATATATTATGAAAC